ATGGGTTTTTAATTACCACTTAAAAGGGATGGGTTTGGCCTATTATGACTTTATATTAATTAGGGGACCTGCAGTAGGGAAGGGGTGGGGGAAGATTACATGTTCGCCCAATAATGAAACCTGTATGCATGTCACTTCAACTGGAAAATGTGGATAAAACCATCAATATCCCAATAACCCTCTATGAGCACAAAATACTGAAAATACTAGACCATTATAGGGAAACAATACCAAATCATAGACCTATATCGAACATTGATAAATTACCCTCTATGAACCCAAAATACTGAATATAACTAGACTATTATATGGGAGCTATATCAAACCATAGTCGTATATCGAACATTTTCTGCAAAATTACAGCCCTTTCGGTTCGGAGAATGCGGATAAAAATAGGAAAAAACTGACACAATTATATGGGAGCTATACCAAAAACCGGGATCAATTTCGATAATTTTAGGTAGTAATATTTAACACCTCATGGGAACCCATAATATCCCATTAGAATCCATTTTATCCAAATTACTGAATATTGAGGGATACCGTGTTGTGGGGTCTATTCCGAAACTTAATTAAATATTGATGGTTATACCCTTCACCACACTGTGGTACAGGGTATTATGTCTTTGTGCATATGTTTGTAACAGGGAAAAGGAAACGAGATTGACACATGGTTCCTTTTGAGAATATGCATAGAATCACTTTCTGTGTCGATTTACGAATGTCCGTCCGTCCATGTATTTTTGTGAACAAAGTACAGGTCGCATTTATGATCCGATTTGGATGAAATTTGGTACAGCTCACTTATTTGGCCCAAGGACGAACCCTATTGAAATTGGGAAAAATCGGTTCAGATATAGCTCCCATATATATTTTCGTCCGATTTAATGTAAATGGTGCACCAAGATCCCTATATATCTTTCGATTTGCACGAAATTTGGCACAGCGTAATGAATTAGGTCTAGAATGAAGTGTGTTAAGTTTCTTGAAAATTGGTCCAGATTTAGATATAGCTCCCATATATATTTCCGTCCGATTTAATGTAAATGGTCCACCAAAGTCCTTATATATCTTTCGATTTGCACGAAATTTGGCACAGCGTATTGAATTAATCCTAGAATGAAGCGTGTTAAGTTTCATGAAAATCGGTTCAGATTTACATATAGGTCCCATATATATATATTTGTCCGATTTTAGGTAAATTGTGTACCAAAGTCCCTATATATCCTTCGATTTGCACGAAATTTGGCACAGCGTATTGAATTAATCCTAGAATGAAGCGTGTTAAGTTTCCTGAAAATCGGTTCAGATTTACATATAGGTCCCATATATATATATTTGTCCGATTTTAGGTAAATTGTGTACCAAAGTCCCTATATATCCTTCGATTTGCACGAAATTTTGCACAGCGTACTGAATTATGTCTAAGTTCAGATTCAGATATAGGTCCCATATATATATTTTCGTCCGATTTTATGTAAATGATGCACCAAAGTCCATATATATCCTTCGATTTGCACGAAATTTGGATTTATGAGTAAATGAACAACTCAAAATGTGGCCTAATACACAAAACATACTGAAATAAGTTTAACCTAACATGTGACAAGTTTCCTTGACATCGGTTTAGATTTCGATATTTTGCTTTAAATTTATTCGGCTCCGTCCGACTTTACAACTTTCCTCACTGGTTTTTGCTTAGGAAATTTCCTACACACTGCGAATCGAAAATATTTAGTAATATCCAATTCGGTTGAAAAACAAATATTCTTAGGGAAATATATACCTTACAAAATATACCCTTTCACAAGTTTCTAAAAAAAATATTCTTTAAAAAAGCCTCTCTTCTGTGGGTTCCTTAAGTAAATAAATGTAATCTTCTGAGGAACCCTGAAAAAATATTCTTTAAAAAAGCCTCTCTTCTGTGGGTTCCTTAAATAAATAAATGTAATCTTCTGAGGAACCCTGAAAAAATATTCTTTAAAAAAATCCACGCCTCTGTGGGACCCTGAAAAAATATTCTTTAAAAAAATCCACGCCTCTGTGGGACCCTGAAAAAATATTCTTTAAAAAAATCCACGCCTCTGTGGGACCCTGAAAAAATATTCTTTAAAAAAATCCACGCCTCTGTGGGACCCTGAAAAAATATTCTTTAAAAAAATCCACGCCTCTGTGGGACCCTGAAAAAATATTCTTTAAAAAAATCCACGCCTCTGTGGGACCCTGAAAAAATATTCTTTAAAAAAATCCACGCCTCTGTGGGACCCTGAAAAAATATTCTTTAAAAAAATCCACGCCTCTGTGGGACCCTGAAAAAATATTCTTTAAAAAAATCCACGCCTCTGTGGGACCCTGAAAAAATATTCTTTAAAAAAATCCACGCCTCTGTGGGACCCTGAAAAAATATTCTTTAAAAAAATCCACGCCTCTGTGGGACCCTGAAAAAATATTCTTTAAAAAAATCCACGCCTCTGTGGGACACTGAAAAAATATTCTTTAAAAAAATCCACGCCTCTGTGGGACCCTGAAAAAATATTCTTTAAAAAAATCCACGCCTCTGTGGGACCCTGAAAAAATATTCTTTAAAAAAATCCACGCCTCTGTGGGACCCTGAAAAAATATTCTTTAAAAAAATCCACGCCTCTGTGGGACCCTCAAAAAATATTCTTTAAAAAAATCCACGCCTCTGTGGGACCCTGAAAAAATATTCTTTAAAAAAAATCCACGCCTCTGTGGGACCCTGAAAAAATATTCTTTAAAAAAATCCACGCCTCTGTGGGACCCTGAAAAAATATTCTTTAAAAAAATCCACGCCTCTGTGGGACCCTGAAAAATATTCTTTAAAAAAATCCACGCCTATGTTAGGTCCTTGAAAAATATTCTTTAAAAAATCCACGCCTCTGTGGGACCCTGAAAAAATATTCTTTAAAAAAATCCACGCCTCTGTGGGACCCTGAAAAAATATTCTTTAAAAAAATCCACGCCTCTGTGGGTCCCTGAAAAAATATTCTTTAAAAAAATCCACGCCTCTGTGGGACCCTGAAAAAATATTCTTTAAAAAAATCCACGCCTCTGTGGGACCCTGAAAAAATATTCCTTGAAAAAATTCCACGCCTCTGTGGGACTCAGAAAAAATATTCTTTAAAAAAATCCACGCCTCTGTGGGACCCTGAAAAAAATATTCTTTAAAAAAATCCACCCCTCTGTGGGACCCTGAAAAAATATTCTTTAAAAAAATCCACGCCTCTGTGGGACCCTGAAAAAATATTCCTTAAAAAAATTCCACGCCTCTGTGGGACCCTGAAAAAATATTCTTTAAAAAAACCCACGCCTCTGTGGGACCCTGAAAAAATATTCTTTAAAAAAAAATCCACGCCTCTGTGGGAGCCTGAAAAAATATTCTTTAAAAAAATCCACGCCTCTGTGGGACCCTGAAAAAATATTCTTTAAAAAAATCGACGCCTCTGTGGGACCCTGAAAAAATATTCTTTAAAAAAAAATCCACGCCTATGTGGGAGCCTGAAAAAATATTCTTTAAAAAAATCCACGCCTCTGTGGGACCCTGAAAAAATATTCTTTAAAAAAAAATCCACGCCTATGTGGGAGCCTGAAAAAATATTCTTTAAAAAAATCCACGCCTCTGTGGGACCCTGAAAAAATATTCTTTAAAAAAATCCACGCCTCTGTGGGACCCTGAAAAAATATTCTTTAAAAAAATCCACGCCTCTGTGGGACCCTGAAAAAATATTCTTTAAAAAAATCCACGCCTCTGTGGGACCCTGAAAAAATATTCTTTAAAAAAATCCACGCCTCTGTGGGACCCTGAAAAAATATTCTTTAAAAAATCCACGCCTCGGTGGGACCCTGAAAAAATATTCTTTAAAAAAATCCACGCCTCTGTGGGACCCTGAAAAAATATTCTTTAAAAAAATCCACGCCTCTGTGGGACCCTGAAAAAATATTCTTTAAAAAAATCCACGCCTCTGTGGGACCCTGAAAAATATTCTTTAAAAAATTCCACGCCTCTGTGGGACCCTGAAAAAATATTCCTTAAAAAAATACACGCCTCTGTGGGACCCAGAAAAAATATTCTTTAAAAAAATCCACGCCTCTGTGGGACCCTGAAAAAATATTCTTTAAAAAAATCCACGCCTCTGTGGGACCCTGAAAAAATATTATTTAAACAAATCCACGCCTTGTGTGACCTTTGAAAAATATCCTTCTGTTGAACCACGAAATTCACACACCTGGGGACCCAGAAAAAATGTTTCTCTGGGAGACCCTGAAAAAATATTCTTTAACAAATACACGCTCCTGTGTGACCTTGATTTTATTCTTCTAAAAATCCACGATTGTGTGGGACCTTGAAAATATATATTTTTTTAAACCTTGCTTCTGTGGCGACAAAAAATCCAAAATCCTTTAAAAACCCAAAACCCGGAAGGTCTGCAGGTCCATAAAAAATGTTTTTTTTGTGGGTTCCTTAAACATATTCATAAAAAAATCCATTCATTTGGTGAATTTTGTGACACCTTTGTTAATTCACATTTCCCATCTGTGGCCTATAACTAGTCAATGATTAAATGGAGTCTATCATGAACAACAACAACAAATAGATAAATAGAATAGATAATTTTTGTGAGCACACTTAACAATAGTCAAGTGGCAGACAATCACAAAAAAATGTTCCGACTTCAAAAGAGTCATAAACCACAACAACAACTACTACAAAAACAAACGAAACATAATGACCACTTTGCAGAACTGCTGTTGAATCATAGAATGAAAACAATAAACCAAAAGATACCTGATCTTGATGGTATTTCAAGGTCATAATGCTTAGAATTTCAAATCGAAAATATTTCATATTTTAAAAAGCAATTTCAATAATTCCTTTCTCTTTTTTTCTTCTTGGCTTTGCAGAATTCAAAAACCCAATTTTTCAGAGGTGGCAAATCACAAATAACGTTTAACAAAATTTTGAAATTATTACGGAAATAATGACAGTTAAAAAACAACACCGTTCCGCCTTATTATTACCGAAGATGTGGTGGGAGTTGTTGCTAGCGTTATCATTCACTCTCTCATTGTCATCATTGCCCTCCATTGCCGAGGCAAATGACAATTTACGCGTGGCCTACGAATGGAAAGAAATGGATTTTAAATACGGCAATGCTGAGCTACGTTGGCAGGCCATAGAAAGATTTGAATTTAAACCCGAAAATGTTATACCGTTCGGCATTGAGGTGTATCAGACACGATTGTTTGTGACATTACCACGTTGGCGGGAAGGAGTACCAGCATCATTGGCCTACATCGATTTAAATGGTAAGTGAAGTCAATTAACTGGTAAGAAGCAAACACACACGCACACATAGTCACATAAGCGACATTAATACAAGAAGGTCATAGTTAATGTAGCGGTAATTATAAGCGACGTGTGAACTACTAAGTTTTTTTGTTGTTGTCGTCATTGTTAATTTGTTTACTGATATTTCGTGGAAAATGTTTATTTTTAATTAAACAACAGAAGCGTGGATTTTGTAAACAATAAAAGAGGCGCTGAATTTTTCAAAGATTATTTGTGGAACCTTTAGAAGCATGGATTTCTTAAAAAAATAGAAGCGTCGATAAAAATCTTTTTAAAGTTCTTCTATTAAAAAAACAACATTTTTCCAGAATTACTAAGCTACAGGAGCTGTGCTTCTCCAGGCCTTCTTAAAAGAGACCTTTGAAGAATATTCTTTTCAGGGAAATACAGAAATGAGGTTTTTAGAATGTTTTTTTTCAGGGATCTAAGAAAGTGACCATGTTTTATGCTTTAGGGTCCAGCAAAAAATTAAATTAAATGTTTTTTTCAGGATTTCGCAGAAGCGTGTTTTTTTAAAGAATATTTTTTCAGGGTCCCACAGAAGAAAAGAATATTTTGTTCAGGATTCCACAGAAGCATGGATTTCTTAAGAATATTTTTCAGGGTACCATAGATGTATGGATTTTTTAAAGAATATGTATTTTTAATAGAGAATTTTTCGGGGACCTACAAAAGCAAAGATTTTTAAATTAATATGTTTATTCAGGGACGTGGAGAGACGTGGATTTTTCAAAGAATATTCTTTTCAGGGACCTACAGAAATGAGGTTTTTAAAAGGACTATTTTTTTAAACATATATATTTTCATCCGATTAATGTAAATGGACCTTATATTTTTTGTATATTTCGATTTGCACGAAATTTGGTTTCTCATACTGAATTTGGTCTAGAATGATGTGTGTTAAGTTTCATGGAAATCGGTTCAGATTTAGATATAGCTCCCATATATATTTTCGTCCGATTTTAGGTAAATGGTGCACCAAAGTCTATTTATATTTTTCGATTTGCAGGAAATTTGGTATAGCGTACTGACTTAAGTCTATAACGGTGTGTGTTAAGTTTCCTGAAAATCGGTTCCGATTTATATATAGCTCCCATATATATTTTCGTTCGATTTACTGTAAATGGTGTACCAAAGTCCCTATATATCCTTCGAAATTTGGCATAGCGTACTAAATTAAGTTTAGAATGATGTGTGTTATGTTTCGTGTAAATCGGTTCAGATTTAGATATAGCTCCCATATATATTTTCGACCGATTTTAGGTAAATGGCGCACCAAAGACCCTATATATATTTCGATTTGCACGAAATTTGGAACAGCGTACGGAATTGGGTTTAGAATAATGTGTATTAAATTTCCTGAAAATCGGTTTAGATTTAGATATAGCTACCATATATATTTTCGTCCGAATTTATGTAAATGGTGCACAAAAGTCCCTATATATCCTTCGATTTGGACGAAATTTGACATAGCGAACTAAATGAAGTCTAGAATGATGTGTGTTAAGTTTCGTGGAAATCGGTTCAGATTTAGATATAACTCCCATATATATTTTCATTCGATTTAATGTCAATGATGCACCTGAGTCCCAATATAACTTTCGATTTGCAAGAAATTTGGCATAGAGTACCAAATTAAGTCTTGAACGATGGGTGTTAGGATTCGTGAAAATCGGTTCAGATTTAGATATGGTTCCTGTATATAATTTCGTCCGATTTTATGTAATTGGTGCACCAAAGTCCCTATATATATTTCGATTTGCACGAAATATGGTATAAGGTACTGAAATAAGTTTATAATGATGTGTGAAAATCGGTTCAGATTTAGTTATAGCTCCCATATATATATTTGTTTGGTAAATTGATAAACACAACGTACTGAAATTGGTGAAGTCTGTTAGGATACATATGCAGAATATACCCAAGTGGTGAAGGGTACCATATAGTCGGCCCAGTCCGACTTGCCTACTTTCCTTACTGGGTTTTCATTAGATTTTAGGTAAATGGTGCACCGAGTGACACGAAATTTTGCACAACGTATCGAATTGAGACTGGAATGACGTTATTCCGTTTTGTTTCATATATATTTCAAACGGGTGTCTGATTGAGATTCAATTTTGAAGAATGCGGCTTACCGAATACTATGTATGAAGTTTGCTCTAAATCGATTTACATAAATTTGTCCCTTTGTACGCAAACGACTCTAAACTTGCCCAAAATGAAATTTAACATAGGTTCCAGAAAGGCATAAAGATCACACATTCAAGTTCGTTCAATTTCATGCCAATGTTCTTTGGAAAAGGCGACCACATATGTAGACTATACCCAAAGTGGCGAAGGGTATCATATAGTCGTCCCAGACCGACTTTACTGCTTTCCTTACTGGGTTTTTAGCGATAGCAGTCGATTTTAAAAGAATATTTTCTCATTGCCTATGATAGGCCTGGATAAAATGAGCGTGGATTTTTTAAGGAATATTTTGCCAAAGCCTACGATAGGTTTGCATGCCTATGATAGGCTTGAATTTTTAAAATAATATTCTTCAAAGACTTTAGATTGATTTGAATTTTTAAAGGGATAGGGATCTTCTTTTAAGAATATTTTTCCAAGGACTCGCCGAAAGAAGAGTGAATTTTGGTATTTTGAATGTTTTAGTGACATTTTCCCACCGAAGTGGCTGTGATTTGACATTCCGCGTTCTTGCTGAAGGCTTTTGGATGCATTTCCACATCGATGTGGCTGATATTTGACATTCCAAATTCTAGGAGGATGAACAACTTATTTACAGATTTTTTTTCGTTATTGGTCCAGGTCCAGGTTCCTATATACAACCCCAATTTTCGATATTTCAAACATTTTATTCGGATTTCCCAATCAGGACGAAAAACTTATTTGCCAAATATTTTTCTTTATGCTTTTCTTTAGATTTTTGATGTTTTGATGGTTTCATCCGCATTTCTCCACCGAAGTATCAGTTTTTCAATGTAAGTCCATGTTTTGACAAACCCCGCATACACAAGTTGCAGTATGTCGTTTTCTACTAGCAGTAGAAATCTCGATCGATTTTATATATTTTGAAGGTGAATGGCATAAAAAGTTCAGCTCGACAGAACATAACGATGCATATATTGTTGCGTATATATTTTTTTAATGGTATGAATATTCTTTGAGGGACCGTGGAGTTTTTAAAGAATTTTTTTCAGGAACCTGCAAAAACCTGAAGTTTTTTTGGAGTTTTTTTTTTCGGAGTTCACAAAGAGAATTGTGGATTTGTTAAAGAATATGTTTTCAAGTACTCACCAAGAGAGGCGTGTGTCTTTTTAAGGAACAGCTACCAATAGAAATGTGGACAAACGAGAGATGTCCGGATTGAAGATTTTTTAGACAGCGACATAAGTTGTGGAATTTTCACAGAATATTTTTAATGCATCTCCATTGGCGTGGATTTTTAAAGAATTTTCGTATGATCTGCAGAAGCATGGATTTTCTAAAGACTTGTTAGAACCTGTAGTAATGTTTTTTTTTTAATAATAATTTTTAAAGGACCTGCCGGAACTTTATTTTTAAATTTTTGGTTAATTATTTCAATGTAATTGTATTTTAATTAAAAAAAAATTTTTTGGCTTAACTGTGATCTTGAAAATATGCATCACATTGACCTCTAAAAAAAAAACTTTAATAAAATTCACTTTCAATATCGAACCAATTAATTAAGTGATGATACCTTCACCTTGTTACGACTTCACACCTTCAGTTTCCTTATATGTGTGTGGTGGGAATCTTCATTCAACAATAATAAACAACAACAACAACACAATTAGTAATTCACAAGTAAACATGAAATTTAACACATCTCTAAAATTTTATTTGCACATTCGATGGTAAAGTGATCGGCTCATTGTAATTGGGGCGGTAAATACGAGTTGATTGATCGTTAAATTATTTTCCAAAAATACGCTAAATAAATACAAACAAACAGACAGACAGACAAACATCGACATGTTTGATGAGTTAAGATCTGGGATGCATCACCATCATCAGTCAGTCAGTCAGACAGTCAGTCAGTCAGGCTTTTATGGTCAATTGACAAAAATTTTAAAAGAAAATAAATTTTTTGCGAATTGGTGAATATTGGACATGTATGTCGGAATGTGGTGTTTTTTTTTTTAATTTTAATGAGCAATAAAATTGAAAGTATTCATCAAATATGACGGTATGTTCTTGACGTGTGACACGTACATTATGACATTGGGGGAGATGGGGTAGAAACTGTATGATATAGTTTCATGTTTGAAGAGAATTTTTAGTTATATCTGCATGATCGATATTTGGTTTCCACATCATATCCCCATATGAATAAAGTTTGCCCCATTTGATTTTCTATTTATTTTTAAAATACTATATTTAGATTTTCATATACACACAATTTTTTTAATAAATACCCCAAATCAATGCTATAAAAACCAATAGCCTGTCTACCTCTTCTAATGATTCTTGAATTTTAAAAATAAAAAAAAAATTCCAAATTTAAAAATAACAAATTATCGAAATTTTCAGTAATCGCGAAAAAAAAAATAGATCAACCCACACATACACAAACAGAGTAATTATTGCTGGCAATCAGCAACACCTTGTCTTATAAAAATTGAAAAAAAGTATTGTGAATGTTTTATGTATTGCTGTCCCGTCTATGTGCCTGCCTGTCTGTCAGTCAGCCAGTCAATTGGAACTTTTTTTTTATTAATTTCACTGAGGCTGCCTATTTCTTTAATTAACCGCCACCCACAGTGACCAATGATCAAATGTAATTTTCGACATTTATGTTGTTTTTTTGTTAAAAACGACAACCATTTCGAAATTCCGTTTGTATTAGAATGAGAGGACAGACGATGGTGATACACAGGTTTATGAGTCACAATTTTTTTTTCATATAGCAGGACGACTGATTTTCAGTCATTTACATTTTTAAATGGGGGCTATGCCAGAACATGGACCAATATCGAACATTCACTTATAATATCGAAAATCTATGGAAAATCATATTCAGCTGGGCTGAATTGAAATTTCCTATGGAAATCTCTATTCAGACAGGCTACATTGAAATCTTCCTATACAAATATTTATTCAGCAAGGGTGATCTGAAAATTTCCTAGGCTGAATTGAAAATTTCCTATGGAAATCTCTATTCAGCCACCCACAATGAATTGAAAATTTCCTATGGAAATTACTAATTCAGCCAGGCTGAATTTAAAATTATGTATGGTAGAATTGAAAATTTCCTAAGGAAGACTCTATTCAGACAGACTGAATTGAAAATTTCCTATGGAAATATCCATTCAACCAGGTCGAATTGAAAATTTCCTATGTGAAATCTCCATTCAGTCAGGCCGAATCGAAAATTTCCCATGGAAATCTCTATTCAGCCAGGCCGAATCGAAAATTTCCCATGGAAATTTCTACTCAGCCAGGCTGAATTTAAAATTCCCTATGGAAATCTCTATTCAGCCAGGCAGAATTCGAGATTTCTTATGAAAACCTCTATCCAGCCTGCCTGAATTGAAAATTTCCTATGGAAATCTCTATTCAGCCAGGCAGAATTGGAGATTTCTTATGAAAACCTCTATACAGCCTGCCTGAATTGAGAATTTCCTATGGAAATTTCTATTAAGCCCGGCTGAATTGAAAATTTCCTATGAAAATTTCTATTCAGACTGGCTAAATTGAAAATTTCCTTAAGAAATTTCTATTCTGACAGGCAGATTTGGAGATTTCTTATGAAAATCTCTATTCAGCCAGGCTGAATTCAAAATTTCTTATGAAAAACTCTATTCAGCCAGGCTGAATTGAAAATTATGTATGGTTGAATTGAAAATTCCCTAAGAAAGTTTCTATTCAGCCTGGATGAATTGAACATTTCCTATGGAAATATCCATTCAACCAGGTCGGAATGAAAATTTCCTATGTGAAATCTCTTTTTAGCCTGGCTGAATAGAAAATTTCCTATGGAAATTTCTATTCAGCAAGACAGAATAAAAAATTTCCAATGGAAATCTCTATTCAGAACGGTAGAAAAGAAAATGCCCTATTCAGCTTGGCTGAATTAAAAATTTCCTATGAAAATCTCTATTTAGCAAGGCTGAATTGAAAATGTCCAATGGAAATCCCTATTCAGCCAGGCTGAATTGAAAATTTCCTATGAAAATCTCTATTCAGCCAGGCTGAATTGAAAATTTCCTATGAATAGAGATTCATACAGATTCAGCCAGACTGAATTGAAAATTTCCCATGGAAATCTCTATTCTGCTAGGCTGTATTGAAATGGAAATCCTATGGAAATTACTAATTCAGCCAGGCTGAATTAAAAATTTCCTTTGCAAATTACTAATTCTGCCATTCTGAATTGTCCTCATACCTGTTACAGATATTGAAACTAATTCCCAAACATTTCATTTCTTCTTCTTTCAGATACCTCAACAAAATCTCCCGCCCTTATACCCTATCCCAGTTGGGAGGCCCATAGCTTGGACGATACAGATCCAGAGCTGGTATCACCTTTTCGAGTACGTGCCGATCGTTGTGGTCGTTTGTGGGTGTTGGATTCTCGTCTCGATGGCGTTCTCGAAGATACACAAATCTTTGGCCCCGCTCAGTTGTTGGTCTACGATCTGCACAACGATGATTTGCTGAGACGCCACATCTTTCCCGCCAATCAAGTGAAGGAGAATTCGTTTTATGCCAATTTGGCCATTGAAGATACGGATTGTGATAACACCTTTGCCTATGCTGGAGATTTGGGTAATCCTGGTCTGGTGGTGTACTCATGGAAGCAGGAAGAATCATGGCGTGTTCAACATCACTTCTTCCATCCCGATCCAATGTCGGGTAATTTTAGTATTGGTGGCCACATGTTCCAATGGGATGATGGCCTGTATGGATTGTCTTTGAGCAAGGCACAGGATGATGGGTTCTCAATGCTGTATTTCCATCCTCTAACTTCGGTCATGGAATTTTCGGTGAATACTAAAATTTTGCGTAACAAAACCTTGGCCACAGAGGGGAAAATTTATCGGGAATTTAAAGTGCTGGGTTCGCGTGGCATTAATGCCCAATCGGGTGCCTCATTTTTGGATAAGGAGACAGATGTTCTATTCTACACCCTGCCGAATTTAAATGCCGTTGCTTGTTGGAAAACTACGAGTGTGGAATATAGCCCGAAGTCTCAGGGTCGTGTTTATATGCATTCCGTTGAAATGTTGTTCCCTTCGGATGTGAAAGTTGATGGGAAGCATAACTTATGGGTCCTGTCAAATCGTTTACAAGAATTTATCTACGGCGAATTATTTCCTAATTCTGTGAATTTCCGTATTCTCACAGCTACGGTGAGGGATGCCATAGCCGATACGGTGTGTGAAGAGGGTTTGATGAGAACCGTCATTGATAATTCGAATAATTTGGGTCAAGGATCAATGCCCAGAGATTTTAATGTGTACAGCAATCAGCATCATCATAATCATGATCATGCACATCATCATCACCATGGTGATCATCAAAATGGTGCCGGATCGATGTCAGTATACCCAGCTTTGCTTTGCGGAATTTCAATATTGATTTTCAAATTATTTAGATGATGGAAATCTATTTTTTTAATTTAGTGTCTTTGAGATTACAACAAAGTATTTTTTGCCCTCCTTTCCTGTTCATTTGAAATGTAGATTTTTAAGACCGATTTTTTGTATAGCTCCCTAATTGTACATACCTACATAGAATAAGTTGTTAATTTTAGATTCGAGTTTACCAATAAATAAACAAAACCAAATGAGATACATACGGATTTTGGATATATAATTAAAATATTTTAATTCAGTTTAGCTGAATAAGATTTTCAATAGAATATTTTCAATTCAGCCCGGCAGAATAAGATTTATAAAAAGAACTCTTTGATCGGGGCCAGTTGAATAAGTTTCCATAGGAAATATTCGATCCAGCATGGCTGAATAGAGATTTCCTTAGGAAATTTTCAATTCAGCCTGGCTGAATAGAGATTTCCTTAGGAAATTTTCAATTCAGCCTGGCTGAATAGAGATTTCCATAGGAAATTTTCAATTCAGCCTGGCTGAATAGAGATTTCCATAGGAAATTTTCAATTCAGCCTGGCTGAATAGAGATTTCCATAGGAAATTTTCAATTCAGCCTGGCTGAGTAGAGATTTCCATAGGAAATTTTCAATTCAGCCTGGCTGAATAGAGATTTCTATAGGAAATTTTCAATTCAGCCTGGCTAAATAGTAATTTCCATGGGAAATTTTCAATTCAGCCTTGCTGAATAGTAATTTCCACAGGAAATTTTCAATTCAGCCTTGCTTAATAGAGATTTCCACAGGAAATTTTCAATTCAGCCTGGCTGAATAGAGATTTCCACAGGAAATTTTCAATTCAGCCTGGCTGTATAGAGATTTCCAAATGAAATTTTCAATTCAGCCTGGCTGAATAGAGATTTCCACAGGAAATTTTCAATTCAGCCTGGCTTAATAGAGATTTTTATAGGAAATTTTCAATTCAGCCTGGCTGAATAGAGATTTCCATAGGAAATTTTCAATTCAGCCTGGCTGAATAGAGATTTCCATAGGAAATTTTCAATTCAGCCTGGCTGAATAGTAATTTCCATAGGAAATTTTCAATTCAACCTGGCTGAATAGAGATTTTCACAGGAAATTTTCAATTCAGCCTTGGTGAATAGAGATTTCCATAGGAAATTTGCAATTCAGCCTGGCTAAATAGAGATTTCCATAGGAAATTTTCAGTTCAGTCTGGCTTAATAGAGATTTCCATAGGATTTTTTTAACTTTCCATAGAAAATAATTAAAAACGATACAAAAATTTATAAAATTAAATTTATTTAATTAATAAAAATTAGCTGAATATAATATTTTAATTTACAGACATTATTTGTAGATGGTGGCAATATCTACCGTGGCATCACTCTTTTGTGAGCCCTTATCCAATTCTTCAATAGCCTTCTTGCGTTTCTCATGTTTGCTTTGCATTTTCCTGATGACCCCACCACACAAGAGGAGTGCTATCTGTAGAACAAAGAATTTCTGGTCAAGATATGAGGTCTTTTATATATTGAGACCCGAACTTACCTGCTCCAATATGCCAATTAGTCCCAAAACGGATAGGCCCAATAGGAAACCCAAAGAACCACCAACATCGGCAATAAATTGCGTGGTGTCATAACTAGGACGTTCTTCCATCATCTGGAAATATATATTTTTTATAAATTCAGCCTTGCTGAATTCGTATTTCTTTGGGAAATTTTCATTTTAGCCTAGCTGGAGTAGAATTCCTATTGGAAGTTTTCAATTCAGCCTGGTTGAATTAGAATTTCTATTGGACATTTTCAATTCAGCCTGGCTGAATTATAATTTCTATATGAAAATTTCCAATTCAGCCTGGCCGAATAAGAATAACTATAGGACATTTTCCATTCAGCAAGGCTGAAATAGAATTTCTGTAGATAATTTTCATTTCAGACTGGTTGAATTAGAATTTCTATTCGAAATTTTCAATTCAGCCTGGCAGATTTAGAATTTCTATATGAAAATTTCCAATTCAGCCTGGCCGAATAAGAATAACTATAGGAAATTTCCAATTCAGCCCAGCTGAATTAGAATTTCTATAGGAAATTTTCAATTCAGCCCAGCTGAATTAGAATTTCTATAGGAAATTTTTAATTCAGCCTAGCTGAATTAGAATTTCTATATGAAAATTTCCAATTCAGCCTGGCCGAATAAGAATAACTATAGGAAATTTCCAATTCAGCCCAGCTGAATTAGAATTTCTATAGGAAATTTTCAATTCAGCCCAGCTGAATTAGAATTTCTATAGGAAATTTTCAATTCAGCCTAGCTGAATTAGAATTTCTATAGCTGAATTAGAATTTCTTTAGGAAATTTTTAATTTAGCCTAGCTGAATTAGAATTTTTATACGAAATTTTTTATTCCATTTCTATTTTTTAAAGGAGTTTTCAATTCAAGCTGCCTGATTTAGTAATTTTTATTGGAATGTTTCAATTCCGCCTGGATGAATTTAATATATTTTTCAGATCTTCGTACCGATATCAACTTCGTTGTATAGTATATATAAATCTGACTACTGGGCTCAATATTTTTGGTGAAATTTTTCCGATTCTGTATATAGGTGGAAAAAATACGCGATTCACAGGGCTGTTCACAATCGCATTCCGGATCATCATCGCTCTCATAAACTCTGTAAACGAGAAGAGGACGTCAGGTAAAAAAAGTGATAACAAAAGAGTGGCAGCTGGTTCATACCTTCCATATTCTCCAATCAGTTTCATTATCGATTTGTAGGAATTGCAGGGCTCCATTTTGTGATCATTTTTCAGCCAAGGTCCAGAACAATTGGCATATTTACCAACTGAGTCCAATATGCAATTTTCGCCGCACTGTAAAAAAGTTAAAAAAAATAAACTAGCGGGTCCGTCATCGTTGGATGCGATCCTCAGGGGATATGGGCAAATTTGTGTTAAAATTTCAGAGATTTCAGAACAGACCTTAGGACTATTTAGGGCATAGCAACACATATTTGGTTACCCACAATATGTCCATAACTAGAACTGTTTTTGAGAGTGACCCCTACAAATCCATCATTCCTCGGTCCTCAAAACTCACCTTCAATTCACTGTAATTTTCATCTTTGTTACAGTATTGATATTTAGTTTCAATATTCGAAAAGTATTGACTCTGCAGCTTAATTTCAATTTCTTCATCGATATCGACGAAAACATATTCCACCCTGCCAGAGGCCTTCATACTAACTTCGGTAAAATTTTCCTTTGGATCATGGATATATACATGCCACCCTGGCCGAGTTTCATATTTATCCAAATCCACGTCACTTTTTGGAACATGATGTTGCAACATTATCGAATATCCGGAATTTTTGGTAGCTCTTCGTAGGGCAACCTTTGGTCGTATCGTGTGGCATCGTCCACGAAAGAATTGTGTATTACTGGTGATCTCAACATCTAGAAATAGAGAGAGAGAGGAAGACAGAAAGATTTTATATTTACCGATTTTGCGGAGTTTCGATATACGGATCCCTCGCTTATGTGCACTGCTTGCTTGCGGATTTTCCACAGGTTTATATTCGTATTCACTTCTTTACTTACTCGATTTAAAAGAATTCAGCCCATATTGATCATTGTAAAAGGTCTCACTGATATTGAATGTTGAATTTATAAAGAATTCCGAAATTGGCACCTCATCATAGGGATATAAATTCCAACAGGAACTATATTTGGGATGGGTACAATTATTACCGGATATTTCCTAGAAAAAAATTTGGAAAATAGATAAAATTAGTAAAGCTAAAGCGATTCGATCTTTTTCGGTTCGCTCCCTTTTAATTCAATATTTCATGGGTCTATGTAGGGTTGATGAATGATTGAACTAGGTAAGCGAGATATGCAAAGTATATCGATTGGATCGAAAGGAACTAGATGAATGAAATAATCAGAACTAGTACCGATCGTTCCTTTTGCAGATGTATTCCTTAGAATTATATCGTTACGGAACAACTCAAATAAAATAAAAATACTTAATCCTTTCTTTGCACACATTGTGAGGCGTCTTATTGAGTTGGGCAATCACGTTGCCTCCGTAGACGGAACTAGGCAGTCATTTAGTTCCATAGTTCCTTGTAATTCAATCGTTCATTGGTACACGCCAGTTAATTCGAGAACAATGAACGGGAAGATTTAGATGAACGAATGAATTAAAAGGAACGAGGTAAGCGAGAGATAAAATATACGATTGGAACTAAATGAACTAGATGAGAAAAAGAAGTGGATCTAGTGGATTTTGTTCCTTTGCTGAGTACATGAACTAGTTCATTTCGCAATGACATAATTTTAGATACAATTTGACACAAGGAAAATCATGAGAAACTAACATTTCTAGGTAATGTATTACAGTTGAGCAATTTCGTTCCTGAAGCGATTCGATGTTTTTTTGGTTTCAGTCCACAAAAGGAACTATGTCATTCATTTAGTACCATAGTTCCTTGCAGTTCAATTGTTTGTGCACATGGAAAATCTGGAGAAACGTCGTCGTGTCTTTTTGAAGTTGGACAATCTTGTTTCTGAATCGTTTCGATCATTTTCGGTTCGCCCGACAAAATAAACTTAGTCATTACTTTAGTTCGTTAGTTCAATCGTTCATTGGTGGAATGATTTGATCAAATCATTGCACCGAAGATGACCGAAAGAGCTAAAACTAGTTCCGATTGTTCATTTTGCAGAATAGTTTCTTTGAACTCGTCTTTTCCGTATCGAAAAAACTTCAGTTAAAATACATTCTGCACATGGAAAATCAGGAGAAACATAAATTTTCCCAGAATAAACTTGGTTATTCATTTAGTTATATGGATCCCTGTAGTTCATTCGTTCATCGGTTCACGTCCGTTAAATCGGTCAATAAACTGAAGTTGTAGAGGAATGTTGTGATCAAACGTATATAGGTACGTGAGAGATAAAAAGTAGGAATGGAGCAAAGGGAACCAGATGAACGAATGAACTGAACCTAGTTCCTATAGTTCCTTTTGCGGAATAGTTAAATACCAGCAAACCAAGTGAAGAAAACTGAAAGAAATGACAAGGGGAGTTCCTAACACGACAAAGGAAGTTTCTAACAAATAGAAGGTGCTCCAGCAGCAATAAGAGATCGTAATGGTAGGCTATTAACAAACACTGATGAACAAATTTAAAGATGGAGGGAACATTTCGAAGAAATCTATAACGTCGTAAATGTCACTAAAAATACGAAAGGTACATTTTCACTTCAATGGAAAATACGCCGAATATCTCGTGGAGCCTTAAAGCTTAGATGAATTAGGAGATGCAATAGAATAACTAAAAAGTAAGAAAGCCGCATGAGCAGGTGGTTTACCGACGAAAGCTCTAAAACCCGTTGCGTTTTATCAGTTTGGGGTGAAGCGAGACTGTCTCCAACGTTAAAGCAAGATATCGTTGTGAAGTTATCCACAAATTGCGATTAGAGAGATTGCAACAACTGAAGAGGAATAACCCTGTTCAATATCATATACAAAATCCTTGCATTCATTATACAGAGAACAATTGAAAGGTAAATAGGAAACATTGTGAGAGATGAACCAGATGGCGTCAGACTAGGCCAACACCCTACGAGACAGAGTACAATAATTTATAGAATGGAACGGAAACGCTATGTTGTGTTGTCTTGAAAATAATCCGAATAATGAGAGGATGCACGAGAATGCAGAACTCTCAGCTCTTCACAGCGGCAACAAAAACAAAGATTGAAATCAGTAAGGAAAGTAGTAAAGTCGGACGGGACCGACTATATGATACTCTTCACCATTTTGGGTATATTCAACATATGAATCTTAACAGACGTCGCATTTTTGAAGGATCGGTAAATGAAGTTGAACCCATAAACAAATCCTTTTGCAACCTGTACTAAATTTTTCATTTGGTCAGATATAGAGTTGCTTCTTACAATGGGACAAAATTATGTAAATCAATTTAAATGATATATCAGTCGGATACCCGTTGATTATTTAGATACATATTTGCTAAACAGGAGGAGTTTGGTGCACCATTTATTTCCAATCGGACGAAAATATTTTTAAAAGCTATATCGAAATCTAAGCTGATTTCATCGAAACTTGTCACAGAATATCGCCCACATTTTGAGTTCTTGGTGCATCATTTAGTTGACATCGAGAGAAAATATGATAGTAAAATATGGTAGCTCTATCCAAATTTGAACCGATTACTTAAACTCTGACGAAACTGTATATAGGAACTATATCTAAATCTGAACTAATTTCAACAAAACTTGCCACACGTTATCTCATAATAACTTCTAGAAGTTGTGAAATATTCTTTGCCAATCGGACCCACCTGGGGAATTCGGTGCAGAATATTTATCTAACTTATAGGTTATACTAAGTTCATTATGAAAGATATATAGGGACATTGGTGCACCATTTACCTTAAATTGGACGAAAACATATATTGGAGCTATATCTAAATCTTAACCGATTTTCCCGAAACTTAACACACATCATTGTAGACATTATTCAGTAGGCTGTACCAAATTTCGTGGAAGCCGAAAGATATATAGAGACTTTGTTGCACCATTTTCATTAAATCGGACGAAAATATATATGGGAGCTATATATATGAATCTGTACCGATTTTCATGAAACTTAGCACACATCATTCTAGGCTTAATTCAGTACGCTGTGCCAAATTTCGTACAAATCGAAAGATATTTAGGGACATTGGTGCACCATTTACCTTAAATCGGATGAAAATATATATGGGAGCTATATCTAAATCTTAACCGATTTTCATGAAACTTAACACACATCATTGTAGACATTATTCAGTACGCTGTACCAAATTTCGTGGAAGTCGAAAGATATATAGGGACTTTGGTGCACCATTTTCATTAAATCGGACGAAAATATATATGGAAGCTATATCTAAATCTGAACCGATTTTCATGAAACTTAGCACACATCATTCTAGGCTTAATTCAGTACGCTGTGCCAAATTTCGTACAAATCGAAAGATATTTAGGGACATTGGTGCACCATTTACCTTAAATCGGATGAAAATATATATGGGAGCTATATATAAATCTGAACCGATTTTCATAAAACTTAGCACATATCATTCTAGGCTTAATTCAATACGTTGTGCCAAATTTCGTGCAAATCGAAAGATATTTAGGGACTTTGGTGCACCATTTACCTTAAATCGGACGAAAATATATATGGGAGCTATATCTAAATCTGAACCGATTTTTCCCAATTTCAATAGGGTTTGTCATTGGGCCAAATAAGTGACCTGTGCCAAATTTCATCCAATTCGGATCATAAATGCGACCTGTACTTTGTTTACAATTTAACATGGACAGACAGAGGGACGGACGGATTGACGGACATGCATAAATCGACTTAGAAAGTGATTCTATGCATATTCTCAAAAAGAACCATGGGTCTATCTCGATTCCTTTTGCCTGTTCCAAACATATGCACAAAGACATAATACCCTGTACCACAGTGTGGTGAAGGGTATAAAAAAATAAAAATAAGGATGTTTAAGAACCAAATTTCGGAGACAGGAGCAAATTCAAACTAATTATCGTATCGAAATTAAATGTGGTATCTAGATAGATATTTGAACCAATAGATATTTGAAAAAATCCCATACACATACCATTCTGGAATCAATGAAAAATTGCATGTCAAACAGACAGACTTGGATTCGTTGGTGTACCATTTGTATGAAATCGAGTAAAATTATGTATCGGAGCTATATATAAACACATGGACCTAATTGAGCAATCGTTGCATACACCATTTGTTTATTATTTGTTATCACTCTATATTCAGTTTAATATCCTCTGCCAAATTTCGTGTAAATCGAACAAAGATAGGCCCTCGGTGCCACATTTACATAAAATCGACAGAAAATATATATAAGACCTATATCAAAATCTGAACTGATTTCAACAAACCTTAGCACACATCATTTTTTCTCCAATTGTATTCCCTATGCAAAATTTTGCTCAATCGGACAAATATTGGTGTATCATTCACAAAAAATCGGACGAAACTATATATGGGAGCTATATCTAAATCTGAACCGATTTTAACAAAACTTCGTAGACATAAGTCTGGACTAATTCATTTCTCTGTACAAAATTTTGTCCCAATCCGACAAATATTGGGAGTTTGGTGCATCATTTACATAAAATCGGACGAAACAGCATATGGGAGCTATATCTAAACTAAACCGATTTTGTCAATAGGCTTCGCCCTTGGGCAAAATAAGTGTACTATGCCAAATTTCATCCAAATCGGATCATAAATGCGATCTATACTTTGTTCACAAAAATACAGGGACGGGCGGACAGACGGACATGCGTAAATTGAATCGAGATAGACGATTCATTTTGCAAACATATGCACAAAGTCATAATACCCTGCACCACAGTGTGGTGAAGGGTATAAAAATGCACTTACATGATGTTAATCCAGCGACATGTGATGAATTGGACTTAGCACCAATAAAATCAATACAAACCAACAACCAATGAGCGGAGCAGTATAGTCGGACGGGGCCGACCATATGATACCCTACACAACTTCCACGAAAATCTAACTTTCTGTGGCAATATTTCGCGATATTTGCACACTCTTAACCGATTAGAGGTCAACCAATATTACTAATATTCAGTACAACCCTTCTAATTTCTTTGCAGTATTCCTTTTGCCGTCGGTTGTGTTGCGATGTTCGGCTTTCAATTGTGGCCTATAGATATAAAACATTTAATTCTCGGTCCGGTTCATCCCAAAATTATTATCTGATCATCACCGAAAATTATAGGCGTTGTCCTTGACCATACATGGATCCTCATGGAAAATTTTAAAGCGATCAGAGCCATATTTCCGTCCTCTAGTGAGGTAATGGGTTACTAAATAATATCTTTGTACGTAGCACCTGTAAATATTTAAGTGTAACTCCCACATCCGAGTACATACAACAATATAATTGGTATCAATTTAAAGGTCAACCACTCCTCTTGGATATACTATCAACTTCTTGGGTCCACGTCCTTCGGGAGTTAATACATACGCCATAGAATACAATTTTTCACACAAAAGTCAGGGTCCATTTGACCCGCTAAATATCGGCCGATCTTTATCAAAACAGACATGCTCATTCTTTGGCCCGATCCCCTACTCCATGAAAAATTTCACGACGTTCGGGCCATAATTGCGGCCTCTGGAGTGACCAGAAAAACCGACGAAAATTTAGTATTTGGTCCATTTCATCCCCTAAATATTAACCGGTCTTTACCAAAAACCAGTAAGGAAAGTAGTAAAGTCGGACGGGGCCGACTATATGATACCCTTCACCACTATGGGTATATTAAACAGGACTATAACATAAAACTATACTATATATGGGAAACTATATATGGGAGCTATATCTAAATCTTGGCCTATTTTCACGAAACTTGGCAGACATCATTCTAGACTCAATTCAGTACGTTATGCCAAAATTCGTGCAAATCGAAAGATATTTAGCGACTTTGGTGGACCATTTACATCAAATCGGACGAAACTATATATGGGAGCTATATCTAAATCTGGACCGATTTTCTCCAAACTTGGCAGACATCACTCTAGGCTTAATTCAGTACGTTATGCCAAATTTCGTGCAAATCAAAAGATATACAGGGACTTTGGGCACCATTTACATGAAATCGGACGAAACTATATATGGGAGCTATATCTAAATCTGGACCGATTTTCACGAAACTTGGCAGACATCATTCTAGACCTAAATGATTAGGCTGTACCAAATTTCGTGCAAATCGAAATATATATAGGGACTTTGGGGCACCATTTACATGAAATCGGACGAAACTATATATGGGAGCTATATCTAAATCTGGACCGATTTTCTCCAAACTTGGCATACATCACTCTAGGCTTAATTCAGCACTTTACACCAAATTTCGTGGAAATCAAAAGATATATAGGGAATTTGGGGCACCATTTACATGAAATCGGACGAAACTATATATGGGAGCTATATCTAAATCTGGACCGATTTTCACGAAACTCGGCAGACATCATTCTAGAAGTAAATGATTAGGCTGTACCAAATTTTGTGCAAATCGAAAGATATATAGGGACCGTTTACATTAAATCGGTTAAATATATATATGGGAGCTATATCAAAATCTGAACCGATTTTCACGAAACTTAACACACATCATTCTAGACCTAATTCATTACGCTATGCCAAATTTCATGCACATCGAAGGATATATAGAGACTTTGGTACACCATTTACATTAAATCGTACGAAAATATATATGGGAGCTATATCTGAATCTGGACCGATATTCAGGAAACTTAACACTTATCATTCTAGACCTAATTCATTACGCTATGCCAAATTTCATGGAAATCGAAAGATATATGGAGATTTTGGTACACCATTTACATTAAATCGGACGAAAATATATATGGGAGATATATATTTTCGTCCTATGCCAAATTTCATGCAAATCGAAAGCCATATAGGGAATTTGGTGCACCATTACATTAAATCGGACGAAAATATATATGGGAGCTATATCTAAATCTGAACCGATTTTTTCCAATTTCAATAGGGTTCGTCCTTGGGCCGAATAAGTGACCTATGCCAAATTTCATCCAATTCGGATCATAAATGCGACCTGTACTTTGTTTACAATTTAACATGGACAGACAGACAGACGGACGGACATGCATAAATCGACTCAGAAAGTGATTCTATGCATATTCTCAAAAGGAACCATGTGTCTATCTTTTAAAAAGGAACCATTAAAAAGGAACCATGTGTCTATCTTTTAAAAATCAATTCTTCTTGGACCCCGAAAGAATGTTTTTTTTTTTTTTAAATCACATTTATAGGTCTTTGTAATAAACGTTTTTAAAAATCCAGACTTCTTGGACCTTAAAAACTTAACTCTTCACTCTTATTGGTCTTTGACAGAAACTTCTTTGAAAAAATTCACACCTTTTGGACCTTGAGACCTCCTTCTTGGACCATGAAAAAATCTTGTTTTACAATCCAAACTTATTGGTTTCTAATACTTGAAAATAATCATTTCTTTTTTAAGAAAACTCGCACTTTATGGTATTTCTGTCCACTCCTCCGACCGAACCACAATATAGATTTATGATTATTTTTTCATGATACCAACTTACCGTTAATTCTTCCTCCTTATATGGAGGTTCACGACATATTGTCACAGCTGGCATTTCAATGGTTTCATTTAAGTTATAATACGAATGAGTGGATATTGGAGGATTATCTAATTTCGAGAAACATTCATATAACTGGAAGTAAAATCACAAAATACACACAATCTTAAATTAATATTTTCCGAACGAGTATCCTTATCATCCATTTTTTCACCACCGTACCTGAACAATTACAATAATACAACAAACAAACAGTACAACATAACGGATAATTTTGGCAGGATCTTTAAAGAGCCAGGCTCTTAACTCCGACCAGTAACCCATGTTGCGAGAATTCGAAGCGTTAAACCGACTATTTTGGCGACACGAGCGAAACTGAATTGGGGAATAACAAATCGGAATGGAATTTAATGATGGTGAAATGAATGGTATGCAACATCATGGATAGGTTCCCAGGCTATAGCGATAAATCGACCTGAAATTCAGATAGCCATACAGATGACAGGTGATAAACCTGTTTTCATTTTTTTTTTATTTTTTGATTTACAAACCATTTCCAGATAAGCAATGAAAACGCGTCTGATAGCGAATTGTTACTGCGGGTAATTTTTGTTGTTGGGGGTTTGCAATTAATTGCTATGACATTCAATGATGGAGTCGGCAGGATCGTTGAATGGCTTTTAGAAGTAACCATTCAGCAGAGATAAGTTGGAAAACAACAACAAACGTATTTTTTATTAGGCGTAACATTGACAATGTGAGGGGGCAATGTTCGCTTCTGGAATACCCTAAACAAAAAAATATTTTTCTGTCTAGTAAAGTGGCAAGTGAAGAGAGGGCAAGGGTTTGAGGTGTGAATGTTTACACATTTCATACACAGGTCGTAATTGATTTCGCCCTTCTGTATAATCTCCATGCGATGATGTTGTAAACAATGTTCGAGGATGTTCACCTGGGGCAAAATAAAAATGTATGTTGTTTTGTTTCTCTACATATAAACAATTCTAATTAGGGAACATCGACAAATAAAAATACATACGTGAATTTTTTTAGAAATGTTGAGTAATTTTTTGGTTCAAAATGTCCATAAAAATATCTATTTGAAAGGACGCTCAAAAAATATTCTTTTAAAAACCCACGCCTCGGAACATCTATAGGTTGTTCAAAAAATATTCTTTTAAAAACCCACGCCTCGGAAGGTCGTTCAAAAAATATTCTTTTAAAAACCCACGCCTCGGAAGGTCGTTCAAAAAATATTCTTTTAAAAACCCACGCCTCGGAAGGTCGTTCAAAAAATATTCTTTAAAAAAAACACGCCTCAGACCATCTTTTAAAAATAACACGCCTCGGACCATCTTTCAAAAATCCACGCCTCTATAGGTCCTTGAAAAAATATTCTTTTAAAAATCCACGCCTCTATAGGTCCTTGAAAAAATATTCTTCTAAAAATCCACGTCTCTATAGGTCGTTCAAAAAATATTCTTTTAAAAATCCACGTCTCTATAGGTCGTTCAAAAATATTCTCTTAAAAATCCACGCCTCTATTGATGCCGGAAAAAATGTTCTTTTAAAAATCTACGTCTTTTAAAAAATCGAGCGCCTCTACTGATGCCTGAAAAAATATTCTTTTTTTAAAATCCGACACATTTTCCCTTTTCATAATTAGAAATGAAAAAACAAATACTGAAAAGGTCATATGTATATGTCTCCAGCATTTAACACGATGACCTATATTTTCAATTTTTCCCTTAGAAAATATAACCAGAATCTTGGTGTATTTTAAGAAACTGCAGCCACTCTCATCGATGTCGAAAAAGAAATCTTAAAAGAAAAACTGAAAATAAATGAAAATGTTTATGAAATCTGCTATTTTCAGGAGTTCAACACAATTCTATATTTGGAATTATGGCCCACAAAAACGTCAAGGGAAACACAACAACACGGAACTCAAGTAAATGGGGAGCATTTCAACACCTCATACATACAGGCCGACAAACAAACAACCACTACCTCCCCACAGCCCCCAACCCCGGGGGGATATGTGCGATCGTCATGAAAACAGCATCATAATTAAGGCAACAAAAACAAAAAAAAAAACATCCAGTAGTGGAGTATCCATACTAAGAACAAACATTTCAAAAAGTATTGAAATGCTTGTCTGCATATATTTATATATATTCAAAATGGATGTATGAAGAAGATATTTTCGTAAAAAGAAAGTAAATATTTGTTGTTGTTGTTCGTGTTTTGTTATTTATGTATAGCCAGTCAAAAGGTGCACGATTATATCTATTTTGAACGTTTTTTTCGTATATATAGTAATAGAATCAAGTGAGAGAAGAAATTGTTTTTTTTCTCTCTCTCATAGAGATCTGTGTTTGTTTTGTTGTTGCTGTTTCTAAAAATATGCCGAACAATTGCCACCGGCAACATCAGCATTGGCATCAACAACATCTCATTTTGTTGGTTGGTTGGTTGGCTGGTGTGTCTGGTCACCATCACCATCCATGCCATCACTGATCCGCCGCCTCTTCGTTGTATTTTGCTCGTGACTTTTTTTTTCGAAGGCAGCAACTACAATACAATACACGATTGAGTATAAAATTTAGTTTCTTGTTGTTTTTATTATAACAGACAAAAACTACAATAAACAAATTCTTAAAAAGTGAATTTTTATGGATTATCAGAAATATTTTTATAAAATTGAGAAATATTTAAAAAATATCTCGGAAATGAAGAAATTAAATATGCACACAGAGAAAGGAGGGCCTAAAGATTAGAAAAAATTCAGACAATAATCTCGACCTATGTTAAAAATAAAATCAGACTGCCACCGATGAAATGAATTTTTAAAGAATATTTTATAGGCGTGGATTTTTTTAAAGAATATTTTTTCAGGGATCTACAGAAGGCGTGGATTTTTTAAAGAATATTTTTTCAAGGATCTACAGAAGGCGTGGATTTTTTAAAGAATATTTTTTCAGGGATCTACAGAAGGCGTGGATTTTTTAAAGAATATTTTTTCAGGGATCTACAGAAGGCGTGGATTTTTTAAAGCATATTTTTTCAGGGATCTACAGAAGGCGTGGATTTTTTAAAGAATATTTTTTCAGGGATCTACAGAAGGCGTGGATTTTTTAAAGAATATTTTTTCAGGGATCTACAGAAGGCGTGGATTTTTTAAAGAATATTTTTTCAGGGATCTACAGAAGGCGTGGATTTTTTAAAGAATATTTTTTCAGGGATCTACAGAAGGCGTGGATTTTTTAAAGAATATTTTTTCAGGGATCTACAGAAGGCGTGGATTTTTTAAAGAATATTTTTTCAGGGATCTACAGAAGGCGTGGATTTTTTAAAGAATATTTTTTCAGGGATCTACAGAAGGCGTGGATTTTTTAAAGAATATTTTTTCAGGGATCTACAGAAGGCGTGGATTTTTTAAAGAATATTTTTTCAGGGATCTACAGAAGGCGTGGATTTTTTAAACAATATTTTTTCAGGGATCTACAGAAGGCGTGGATTTTATAAAGAATATTTTTTCAGGGATCCACAGAAGGCGTGGATTTTTTAAAGAATATTTTTTCAGGGATCCACAGAAGGCGTGGATTTTTTAAAGAATATTTTTTCAGGGATCTACAGAAGGCGTGGATTTTATAAAGAATATTTTTTCAGGGATCCACAGAAGGCGTGGATTTTTTAAAGAATATTTTTTCAGGGATCTACAGAAGGCGTGGATTTTTTAAAGAATATTTTTTCAGGGATCTACAGAAGGCGTGGATTTTTTAAAGCATATTTTTTCAGGGATCCACAGAAGGCGTGGATTTTTTAAAGAATATTTTTTCAGGGATCTACAGAAGGCGTGGATTTTTTAAAGAATATTTTTTCAGGGATCTACAGAAGGCGTGGATTTTTTAAAGAATATTTTTTCAGGGATCTACAGAAGGCGTGGATTTTATAAAAATATTTTTTCAGGGATCTACAGAAGGCGTGGATTTTTTAAAGAATATTTTTTCAGGGATCTACAGAAGGCGTGGATTTTTTAAAGAATATTTTTTCAGGGATCTACAGAAGGCGTGGATTTTTTAAAGAATATTTTTTCAGGGATCTACAGAAGGCGTGGATTTTTTAAAGAATATTTTTTCAGGGATCTACAGAAGGCGTGGATTTTTTAAAGAATATTTTTTCAGGGATCTACAGAAGGCGTGGATTTTTTAAAGAATATTTTTTCAGGGATCTACAGAAGGCGTGGATTTTTTAAATAATATTTTTTCAGGGATCTACAGAAGGCGTGGATTTTTTAAAGAATATTTTTTCAGGGATCTACAGAAGGCGTGGATTTTTTAAATAATATTTTTTCAGGGATCTACAGAAGGCGTGGATTTTTTAAATAATATTTTTTCAAGGTTCTAAAGAAGTCGTGGATTTTTTTTAAAGGCTTGTTTTTCTTAAAGGCGTGTTTTTTTTAATAATTTTTTTTAAAGGCTTGTTTTTCTTAAAGGCGTGTTTTTTTTAATAATTTTTTTCAAGGTTCTAAAGAAGGCGTTGATTTTTAAAAGAATATTTCTTCAGGCATCCACAGAAGGCGCGGATTTTTAAAAAATATTTTCTCAAGGATCTACAGAAGGCGTGTATTTTTAAAAGAATATTTTTCAGGGATCTACAGAAGGCGTGAATTTTTTAAAGAATATTTTTTCAGGGATCTACAGAAGGCGTGAATTTTTTAAAGAGGCCATTATTATATGACGAACATCACATATTTTGCACGGCGAATGAAATCTGACCAAATATTTTGAACGGCTGTTTAGGCGATAAGCGGTCAATATTCCAAGGGGCAAATCAACCAAATCATAAAGTAACCAATTTTTTATTTTTTTGAGTAAATATTCACGTCGGAAAAACAAGATTTGGAAAATATTCCGGGGTCAGAAAGTTGACCAATAATCGACAAATATCGCGAAATATTGCACAGGCTCGGAATATAGAACCGCAAAAAGTTATAAAAGTTATATTTTCGTGGCAGTTGTGTAGGGTATCATATGGTCGGCCTCGTCCGACTATACTGCTCCGTTCACTAGTTATACCCTTCACCACACTATGGTACAGGGTATTATGTCATTGTGCATATGTTTGTAACAGGCAAAAGTAAACCAGATATACCCATAGTTCTTTTTTAAAATATGTATAAAATCACTTTCTGAGTCGATTTATGCATATCCTGTCTGTCCATGTTAAATTGTAAACAAAGTACAGGTCGCATTTATGATCCGAATTGCATGAAATTTGGCTTGGGTCACTTATTTGGCCCACAGGACGAACCCTATTGA